AGCCCTCAAAGATACTGGATGAAGCAGAGCAAGCAAGCTTGAACTCAAAGACTTCCTTAAGCCAGAAATGACTCCAGATGGAAACTGGTTCACACATGGGCTCCCTCACTCACCACCATTCAGAATTCCATATCTTTTTTATGATTGCATATCACCTGTTCACCTCTATAACACTAGTATAAAATTAAAGCCTGGCAAAATTATCAGCTTGAATTTCTTCCTACAGACTAAAGCATATAGAAGGAACAGAATTACTTCATAGGTACAGAATTACTTCATAAAGAAAAAAATGTATGGATGAAAAGAATATCATGTAAAGAAAGAATTGAGAGAATTTTACTGTCATCTAAATATAGGATATTTGTAGTTTGTACTTTTATTTTTTGGCATGGTTTAGGTACAAAGCTTAAATATAAGATGCATTAGTATATTTATTAGTATATTGCATTTTCGTGGTAATCTATGTAATATCTTATCATGATGTCATTCTCTTCCTGATTAGTCAGGAAGGTGATGCGGCCGTTCCCAAAAGTTCACTGGAGTGTATAATAAGTATCTGTGATATGTGTTTATCTCAAATATTAAGCAAGTTGTCTTCAACAAGGAAGGACACAGTGCTCAACATACCCCCAATCTCCTCATACAAACTGACATCTTATCACACATAGGGATTAATTTTTGGTTGATATTATATTGAAACTTGAATTCTGGCCTGAGGATGAATGGGATCTTAAAACTCAAATCATTTTTATTGTACTGACCTTTCACCTTTTTATTTCAGTATAATCCGAGATATCTTTGAGTCTTTTGTAAATAAGAATGCTTCAATGCTCTCTTTCTAAGAATGTTTATTTTCAAATAAGAATATTTTGACTTCTTCATTTCCTATTTATATCCTTTTAATTTCCATCTCTGCTCTTATTGCTGACTAGGATTTCAATCATTATATAAAGAAAAGTGCAGGGATAGTGAAGAGCACCATTTTGTTCCATATTATAGTTCAAAAGCATAAGTTTCCTCTCCAATTAGGACAATGTTGGCTGTAAGAGTGTCATATATAGCCGGGCGGTGGTGGCGCATGCCTTTAATCTCAGCACTCAGGAGGCAGAGGCAGGCGGATCTCTATGAGTTCAAGGCCAGCCTGGTCTACAAGAGCTAGTTCCAGGACAGGAACCAAAAGCTACGGAGAAACCCTGTCTCGAAAATTAAAAAAAAAAGAGTGTCATATATAGCCTTTATTAAATTGAGATATATCCCTCCAGTCCTGTTCTCTCCAGAGCTTTTATCATAAAATGAGTGTTGAATTTTCTCCAAGACTCTTTCTGCATCTACTGAGATAATCATATGCTTTTTGCCTAAGAGTTCACTTATAAGGCTTAATAAGTTTATTGACGTAATCTATACCAAACAGATCATGAACCTCTGAGTTACTAAAACTGAGGTCATGTGTTGTGTGGTCCTCCTTGAATACTTATTCATATATATGAAGTCACATAAAACATTTAATTCACTTCTAAACCTAGATAATTTTTTACCTGTCAATTCACATTACTTAAAACATTTTTTTCTGACTGAAAGTTCTGCACACATTAATGCTATTTTTGTTTGTTTATATATTTATATATAAATATATTTATATTAAATATGGTTATTTAGACGTAACCACAATCAGATTCAACAAATCAAGATTACCATGGTTAGCAGGAAATATTTAATGAATAAATAAGATCCAATTTTCACATTCTTGAGAGAAAATCTTGCACAGTCCCTGAAGCACACTCGCATATATCATACACTGTAAAGACAGAAATTGCAAATTACTTTATAGATTTTTGTATATTTTGACCCATTTATTCACTTTTCCCCTTTGATTGAAAATGGATTTTTTTTCTCACATAATATATCCTGATTACAGTGTCTCCTTCTTCTACACCTGGCAGCTTTTCCAACCTCCCCTCCCAACTGTATCCACTCTGTTTTGTCTGGATTTTAAGGGAAATAATGAAATAAAACAAAAATTAAAAAAAAACCCGACACACTGGAATTGTATAAAACAAGCCGCATGAGGTAATCCTTGTGTTTAGCACAGCTCATCAGAGTGCACACTCTCCAGTTCCTGTTGTAGCTGATTAGAGTGGTCACATCCTCTTTGCTCAGCTCAGTCAAAGACCTTCAGGTTTTCAGTATGTTGTGCTGGTGTCACAGACTTTGGGATCTCCAAGTTCCTTTGTTTGGGGAACTGGATCAGCACCTGGACTGTAGGTTTATTGTACTTGTATGCAATTGCCTTAATCCTGGGAATCCTCCAGAAGAGAAGAGTCTTCGAACTTAGCCTTGGGCCTGTCAGGAGAGCCAAGGGGACTGTATGCAGTCACCACAATGCCTTTGAAATAGCAGTGCTCAATCAGCTTCTGTTGAGTTAGGTACAGGTGGCACTCGATCTGATTAATTGCAGGTTTCTCTTTTAAGCCAGGTTTGTTTAGGATCCTCTTAATCTGAGAGGGTTGAAGTTGGAGACACCGATTTCACCAAACCTTCACCCACCAGCTCTTTTATGGCTGCCCAATTGTCCACAAAATCATTGTCACTGGGAATCACATTTCCTGATGCACCCAGTAGGAAATAATCAGGCCCAGGCTTGAAACCTGTTGGCCAACGAATAAGGTAGCGGTCCCGGTAGTCCAGCGGCAGATCGCTGAGCGTCTTCTGGCAGGCTCCTTTCACCATGATCTTGTGGAACATGCACCACAGCTTGCTGACAATGAAGAATCACTGCTGGAGCTTCTCCTGGAAGGCCACTCCAACCTCCTGCTCATTCTGGTACACCTGGGCACAGTCAATGTGGCGGTACTCAATGTCAATGGCAACCTTCATGACCTCAGTCACTTGGCCAGGAGGAGACTTCCAAGTGCCCAGGCCCAGGGTGGGCATCTTGGCGCTGTTATTCAGCTCCAGATGGCTGGCCATGACTGCTGCAGGTTACACACCCTGACCGACAACTCTATGCCAAAGTCTGAAGCTGCGGATACCTGCTCTCCCCAAAACGATTTACACATGATCTTCCTGCTTCATCTGTCCTTGCAGGAAGTCCTCCTTGATCAACCTGATCATTTTTTTTTCCATTTTTTTATTGAAAAAAGGAGAAAAAAAAAACAAGTTTCCCCCTCCTCCCAGCCTCCCATTTCCCTCCCCCTCCTCCCACCCTTCTCCCCCTCCTCCTACCCTTCTTCCCCTCCCCCCACTCCTCTCCCCATCCCCCAATGAGGAGCAGAAGGAGGGAGAACATGAGCAAAGAAGTCGGGACCACGAGGGGTGCACCCACCCACTGAGACAGTGGAGCTGATCTATTGGGAGCTCACCAAGGCCAGCTGGACTGTGACTGAAAAAGCATGGGATAAAACTGGACTCTCTGAGCATGGCGAACAATGAGGGCTGATGAGAAGCCAAGGACAATGGCACGGGGTTTTGAACCTACGTAATGTGCTGGCTTTGTGGGAACCTAGCCAGTTTGGATGTTCACCTTCCTAGAAATGGATGGAGAGGGGAGGACCTAGGACTGATCATTTTTTAAGTTTGAATGATTTCACTGCTTTTCATTTTCTATGGAAATAGAAGCAAAATCTCTCTTCCAAATTAACAGACCCTTTGTCTAAAACTCTGATGTCAAGTTATTCTTACAATACATATGTTGGTTGAATCTAGCACTTTTTTATAATTAAATGTCTCTTAGCAGCTAAACAATTCAAAGAAGACAACAATATACATGATCTAGACTCTCTGTGTATTGCCTATCTTTATGTGGCTTATTTATCTTATTTTACTTTATACCGTGTTAAGGATATTTTTATTATTTTAAAACTTGTTTCTTAAATATAATACTGTATATATTCGTTTTATTCTCTCTTTTAAGTCTACACATTTTTAAAAACACACTGTGACCCAATTAGTGGCTCTTTTTGTCTGAATCTGTACTTACTGTGCATCTGTATTATTTTCTTATTGTGTGAGTAAAAACAGAAAAACTATTGTAACTTGTATCATGGTATGTTGGTGATTGACACTTCCCTCTCAGTTCTCTGAGAGTCGAGTTTCATGGAGGAGGCATGTTTATGACCCATGTTTATCGCCCAAGTTTGGGAAGTTACTGGATCCACACCATCACTGAGTAGTGTGCCATGGTTTCTTGGTAGCTGCATTTTTTTGTCTGCTGGTAGTGAGTACAGATGTGGCTTCTTTAAAAGGTGACTTCATGGCTCAATGCTATCAGCAAAAATGGTGGCTTTTTTAAGAGGCTCTACTACCAAATACTTTGATGGTATTCATGTTCAGCATGTGGTACACTATTCAGGGATGGTGTGGATCCAGTAACTAATTCCTTTCACAGGAAATCAAACTGATCTTGTATGTTGTAAGAAAAATCTGAGGTATTAAAGCTGTACATGCCCTGATTTCCTTAGTGGTTGCTCAAGTTTGCACTTCCACCAACAATGTAGGAGTGCTCCCCTTACTCCACAGTGGATTAGTTTCTCAATGCAAGTAAACTAAATAAGCAATATTGATGACATACTGTACATATTTACGTATATACTTTGGTGAAAAACAAATATTTTCCTACCCATTGTTGTAGACTCTTATGTGTACACTTGAAATTGTACTAATCTTATTTTTTCAAGACTAATGTTAGATAACCATAGAGGTCAGAATGTCTACTGGAGACATTTTTCTCTTTACTAGGAAAAGAATAGTACTACCTCACTGAAGAATTTACTTAAGTGATGTCTTTGAAAAACTTTGGTGACACCTGATATATATGTTAAATGATAGATTGAATATTAAATATTAAAAGATAACCTTTAAAGAATGAATTTAAATTTATATATTAATATTGAGGTATATTACTACATATGATTAACTTTTATATTTAAAATACATGATTTCTTGGCTTTAATGCAGACATAAACTTTGTTGACTTACTTGTTTCCATTTCTCTTTTCTTTTAGGCCATACTTTGGAGGTATAAATTCTCTCAGCTTAAAGGCTCATCAGATGACGGCAAAAGCAAAATAAAATTTTTGTTTCAGAATTCAGAAACTAAACAAATTGAAGCAAAGGTAAACACAAAAGAGCCATCACACAATACATTTCCAAATACATCAGTGCCTTAAAGATGCAATGAGGAGAATGTGTAGGATCAATAAGCACAAATGTTTTCCGCCTACCTTGAAATAGCACTGTGATCCTAAAGTACTTTTACTTGAAGGCTCTAGTGACAGATTTTCACTGAAAAGCATTGCTCCAGATAAATTACACCCAACTGATTCTGGGTCGTAGTTTTAATCTGGTATGAACTATAATTACATAAGACTAAAACAACATGCCAAGACCTGAAGGGGCCATACAGCAGTTTCTTAATTTTAAAAAATACCTTGGAAATTTAGCTGCTTTATAGTAATCTATCAAACCTTAAATAGAAGTATAAATTTGCAAAGAATATGGTTTTAAACAACTATGAAATAATTGCTAAGTAGTTATGACTTAAAGAAGATGAATTAGTCAATAACTTTTCACATAGTTTTACCTAAGTTATAGTCAACTGGAATATGATAGTGCTGTTGTTAGGTCAATGGAAATTTTAAACAATTTTGTATGTATAATTTGCAGAAATTCAAATTTTTACTTTTTTCTATTACCCTATAATGAAATCAACAGTAAGATTTTTTAGTTTAAATAATTCATAAAAATATTATTCCTCTGTGAAATAAAGAATAAATAATACCAAATTGTAAATTTAATCCTGTGGTATGGAAAACTACTGTACTTTTTCTTTTATGAAGTCATTGGCAAAATTTATTTTTCCAGTCATTTACCTGAGTTCAGCGTGAGTCTTAGAATGACTTTCAAGGACTTCCCAAGCATGACTCTGTGATGTTCTATACAGTAGCTTACCATGCTGTTCTACATCCTTACCATAAGCCTTCCTTTCAATAATGTGATTCTTCTTTTTCTAGTATGTCTACCCAGGCATTTTTCCATTGTTCCTTCTTGAGAACTTTCTCCATTTATATTTTCATTTCTGAAGTAGGAACTGTGATCATAGCTTTTATGTACTCATTCCTTCTCTTTCACATCTCCAACACATAGATGTAATTATCTTCTTGCCTTGCCTTTGTTTCCCATGAGGTTAGAAAAGTTCCTTTTTCATTCCCTTTTCTTGTGGCTTGGTTTCTGAACCCTCAATCTCATGTGTCTTCCACACATTACTTGCCTCTGTTTCTTGCTCTTTCTTTTCTCCATAACTATCAATGAAGCATCATTGTGCTTGCACTTACTTTGTTCTTTAAAATGATTTTCCATGTTCTATAAATAAAATGTTCTATAAATGCATATTCATGTAAATTTATTAATATTAACATTGGTTGGCTGCCTTAAGTTTTTAAGGAGGTGCACCATCTCAGTTAACCAAGATAGAATCATCTTCATCAGTTTGTAGCCCCAAACCGATGGTGCTATCAGCAAAATGGCATCATATCAACCAGATAGAATCATTGTTGTGGGGCCACATCTTCTTCCTGGAAACTTAAAAGATTAATATATAAAAATTTATTAATCATTGTGGAAAACTTAAACAATATTCATGTCAAAACAGAGAGTATGATTTTCTATAGACATGAATTTGAAGAAAGGTACCATAGAGACAAAAATAGGTATGGGGAGAAGAAAAATTTTGAAAGCAGAGGTTTGATAAACTTAGTGCCCTAGATTTTATCTTCTTTCTGTCCCACATCAGGTGGCTTCTGATATGAGACAGAGACTCTAAATTTTTCTTTTAAGAATGTGCTTGAATTTAGAGAAGGAGAGCTACTGTCTAATTCCAAAGTCAGCTTTGATTTTCAAGTGAGTTGCAAATGCCATTTCATATATATGTTTAGGTGTGAGATTTTACCTTGCAGAGGATATTGGTATCATAAGCCATATTTTTCTTTGCTTGGATTGCTGTCTTTCTTCTTTAGACATCTAGATGTCCAAGATCTCTTGACTTTTTGAAGATGGGTATTTTTCTGCAAAGACAAGAACAGAACCCTGCCCCAACCCTTATGAGGTTTCCATGGAACCTGTAGAATTGTCCCCTCTGTGAATAAGTTGTCATTTCTATTTATCAAGAGATTTCTCCTTTTCAAAGAGTATCTTGATTAATTTTGATAGTATTCATAGTTTTTCTTCTCCTGTGAAAACAAAAGCAAAACCCCTGTCCCAGTGTAGCACATCTCCTGGTTTCCATTCTTAGGTCAACACCTCCTTGAAATACACTAACTGATTTAATTCAGAAGTTTTTTTTTTCTGTTACCCAATGTCTCTCTGAAGCCATTGTTTCCTTCTCATTAGTATTAAGAAAATTTAAGGTTAATAAAGCATTATGCGATCTACTTCTGGGGATATTTTCCATCCCTTTCTATTTGTTTAACATATCCTTTATAGTTCAATTTGAAGTTTCTGTAAGTGTCTGACCTGTAGGATTTTGTAGCATATCATAATACACTTTATATTATAATAAGCAAAAAACTGTTTCATTTTCTTAGAGACATATCCTGAGCATTGTCTGTCTTTATTTGTGAAGGTATACCCATGATGACCATAACTCCTAATAAACGTGTGATTATCAAATCACTCTAATAACTCTTGATTTCTCTGACGTACCATCAGACTTTTCTTGTCTATCGTCTTTCTTTATGATCCATGTTTTTCAAAAGAAAGTGAAGTATTGTGATGAATATTTATTGAATGACCAAATACTTAAATTTTGAAATTAGGTTTTGCTTAGTAAGGCTCGTGGAAAAAAAATGTCAGGAAAGTTCTGTTGTAAGGAAACAGCATGTAAAGCCTCTGGATATTTGAAAGTCTCAGAAAAACAAAAAAAAAATGGGTAGAAAGGAAAGACTGTCCTCTGTGAATTCATACAGGTGTGAACAAGGGAGCTTGAGGGATGGCTATGACTGCAAGAGTTGATCATGGGGCGGAGGAGGTGATGTTGAATTAGGGTCAAACCCAGATCCATCAGTCTCCTACAGTCTATTCTCAGTATCTATGTCTTCCTGTCATACACTACAAACCTTAAATTGGTAAAAATATAAAACTGTAAGGTCTTGATCAGCATCAAATTATTGGACAATAATGAACCAGATGGGTAGAATAATTAAAAACCTAGATCTTACTTAAAGTGCCCAGATATTTAGGTAATTGGAGAGACTAAAAAACAAGCTATAATCTTCAACTTAATAGGAATAATTTTAAGAAACACTGCTTTAATATTTGTGTTCAGTGGCATTCAAAATTTTTTTATCTTCGTGAACTGAGAAGAACACATACACACTTGTATAAATCTATATATATAATATCTATACCATATAATATTATTATGGTATAATATATTATATATAATGTGTATGTATAAAATCAGAGAAGATGAGACCGTAGATTTAAGAGGGAAGGTTGTAATAGGGTAGTTGGGATGGAAAGAATGAGAGGAGAGGACATGGTAAATATTGCACAGAGGAGAGAAAGAGGAAGAGAAAATGATATAATATTTTAATTAATTTTTAATTTGAATAAAATAAACCGTAGCTAATAATGACAGAATTTTAAAAAGACTTTGTAAGTGGAAATTTTTGGGAAATACAATAAAGAAGTGAATGTATTTTACTACTTTCAGAAATTGCACTATACTAATTTGACTCTGAACTATGAAAAGGTAAAAGACAACTGTTGAGACACTGAAGGCTATTGTGTTCCTATTGCAAACCCCAAGATAACACAGTAGGCCTGTTAATTTTCTCTAGGAGTTCTCTGATGTATTATAATTTGTTCTAATTTCTTCATCTTCCATCACAAATGTGAAACTAAATAACAAAAAATACGCATCATTAATCTCAGTTGTTTACTACGTATGAGTTACTCTCATTGCGATCATAAACTGTATATCAGTTTCACTAAGCTTATAAATTTCTTAATCAGTCTCCAATTTTCTTGGCATTATAACATGTCTATGAGAGTATTGTATTTTAATATATTACATATGCTAGATTCCAGATGTTATACATAAAAATGACTGCTTATTGACAACTTTGTGAAAAAATAAATTTTTCCCCTGATTTACTTCTTTCTCCTTTCCTTCCAGGAGTTGGAATTTTCAAATTTATTTGCTGTTCTTCACTGTATCCATTCATTTTTTGCTGCCAAAGTAGCTTGTTTGGACCCTCAGTTTTTAGGCAATCAGGCTGCTGCTTCTGCTACTGCCACCTCTGCTTCTACAAGCAAAGCAAAGCACGTGGCTTGACAGACTGAGTTCTGCCTAGCAGCCCCGCTGTCACTCCTCGTTTTCATCCGTCAGAGACCATGCTGTAACCATGTCAACAATGGAGTCAGACTTCAACTCCAGCGGGAAAAATGTCAGGAGGTATCTGTAGTAGATCTTACCCTGGCAGGTATCCGCAACTAACCCGGAATGGGCAGAGAAGCCTATTCTTTCTCCTCTGATCTTTATCAGGACACAGCTGTCACCGTGTATGGTGATGAATGATTGGTGTAAAGTATGTAAATAACACAAAAATTGTAAGCTACCTATAAATAAAAATACCAATTAAATGGCTATTTCTCTATTTTAGATTATTTTGTATGACAGAGACATAGTGGGCAGATCATGAACCAATGCCCTATCATTGTATTGTGAGTGTAAATAAATTAAAAAGTAAAGCAAGGCAAGTAGCATGCAAAAATAATAATAAAACATTAAACCCTCAAGGATAGAAGTACCTTAACCTACCCACATGAGTTTCTTCCTATATTCCCATCTTATGTTTCCACATGAGCACTCTGATTGTGTTTACCAGATTTTAAATCTTCTGAAGAATAAGTAAAGATAATCACATTGGCCTGTGATACACACTAAGAAATGAAACATTCCTTCTTGAATGAATGCTACAAAAACGTTTTATATTAAAAATGGTATTAGTCCTGAATGGCTAAAACACTCATGATTTCCCTGTTCTTCATGTAAACACTCTTATACTCTTTTGCCTAATGATATTTATAAACAAACTAGACTTTAATAAATTGATATGACCCAAAATTCTTACAGAGAAAATTATGTCAACAAATTCTGTTTAAGAAATAGGACTTTGTAACCCTCTTCTGTTTAGTCATGAATTAAAAAGTTCCTGAAAAGTAGCCACAGAGGCAATAATTTCATTTGAGTATATTTATTGAGTAAATTAAGTGAGATTTGGAAATAATTCTCAAAATACATGTCCTAGAATGCCATGGAGTATGATGAAGTAGTTATAATAGATTAAGACTGCTGTAGCTAGCTTGTGTTAGTGTTAGGAAGACGAAAAGGACAGAAATAGGCAATATGGAGAATGTACTCACAGCTGGGAATGGGGTCTTGCTAGTCACACAAAGCAGGAAGCATTCTCTGGCCCTCATCTAAGGCTCTGTAGATGTCTGCTTTTAAACAACTGGGTACTTATTGAAAAGTAAAAAGGAAGCCCATTTTTGCTTGTACACATTTCAGTTGATAACTGTTTTAGCTCTTTTTAAATGACCAGTTTTCTAACGGGGAGTTCACTAATGTAAGATTGGAACTAAAATGCCTTTCCAAAAGAACAAAAAAAAATTTAATAATAAAAGTTTACAAACACTATAAGAAATTCAATGTTTCCCTACAATAGTAATATTGAAATTGTTGCTTACTATATCAACCAGACACAAAGATTATGGCAAATTTTGGATGCCACCAACATCAGAGTTCTGACTGTCTAACATAAAGTAGAAGGAGTGAATATGGACATATTTTACTATTTCTTCTGAAACCTCTGCTACTGAGCAAGGTGCAGCCACATGGTGGGTGACCTGGTCTGTAGGGCTTGTGATATGCCACAGTCATCAAAACTAAAAAAAAAGGAAATAATCTGGGTTTTAAACAATGCAGAATTCTTCTGTAATCATGTAAGATAATTTCATGGGGCTGGAAAGGTGACTGAGCTTTAAGGATTATTTTTGCTCCTGCAAAGAAGGCAGACTTGCTTTGAGCACTCACTCAGTGATCTGTAACTACAGTTCCAGGGGTTCTGATGCCATTTTCCAGACTCAGCATCTCTGGGGATGCATGTGGTGCAGGTGAAACAACACATAAAATGATGTAGATTTTACAAGGTTCTCTTTAAACAGACAAAAACAAATTATGCTTTTATTGTTGTTATCTCCAATATTCTACCAGTGTTCCCATTGTGAAAACGGCAAAAGTATGAGATGATGTCTTTGAGTATAGAGCTAGTGTACTTACAGATACATAAGTACATGTATAGAGACAAGTATAAATTGTTGACCTTAATTATACTGAAATAAAATTTTCCACATACATATATAGCATAATTTGAATTCAGCTATAAAGTGTTGCTTGAAATAAAACATATTAAAACAACCTTAGTATTGTTACTATTTATAATATTGATCGGCATATCTTCATGCTGAAATTGCTATTTAACACGATTAGTGGCGCAAGCAGCAGTTAGGAAAATACTGCTCTGATTTTCATCAGTTTAACAGTTAGTGTTTTATGCTTTCTTTATAGTGCTATTAATCACTGTTATTTGCTGTTGTTCCTTGGGCTACTTCAGTGAGAGAGTTTAGAAATGAATTGAAACACAGATTTCAATTTCTCCGTAACTTAGGTAGGTTCCAATATAGGAGATTTTTTTTTTCAAAAGTTGCAAGTTTGAGTATTAAGCACATATGAGAATACTTCATGATGTTTTAACCCCTCCAGTGCCTTGGTGGATGTGTATGCACATGCATGTATATGGGGGCAAATTAAAGGGCTGATTACAGTGTGCACAGTATAAACTTAAAGGGCAATGTAGTTTTGGGAGTTAGAGACAAGAGTTTCAAACCACTTGAAAATTGTTGAGAATACCTTTTATGTGATTAAAATAGCAAACCATCAACACTGAAATATATCAAAGCAGGGGCATTTGAGTCTGTTATAGTGCAACTTCAAAAACACTTTAAAGGATGATTTAAAAATAATAAATACTCCAAATGCTTCCCATCCAATCTTACTTTTAAGGAGCAGCATGAGCTACTGCGTTCTCATACATTTCGGTCATGAACAGACCTCTTATAAAGCCTTTGCTCATAAAAGTCGCCCAATAAGAAGAAAGACAATGAATACCAAGTCAATATGGCAAACAGAGAAAAAATTTTTATATAGACAGTGCGGTTTTCTTCTGGATACATGAGCTGATGAGTCCACATATCCTTTGCTTAGGTCACAATGATTGTTCATAGTATATTCCATGTCAAATGCTGGGCTTAAGTGATGCTTGATTTATCACTGAGGAACAGTGATTCATAGCAATCACTTCACTTTACTGTTTCAAACCCGAAGTGTGGAGAAGCTCTACCAGTGCAAGGACAAGCTTAAGCTTAACTCTGTAAGGTAAGTGTCTGTGTTCACACTTAACGATAAATATTTTGTTCCTGTTGCTATTGCTGTGCTCAGGAGCTTAAGGACTCTCTTGATCCACATCTCTAGAATTTCTGTTTGTATTTTATTCTGACTCCTTAATACCCTAAACTCATGTCAATTTATGTTATACCTTAACTCTAATGATAATAAATAATATAAATGTTATATATTTTATACATATTACAATGTAGTGAAATAGAAAGATAAAATGTAAATATATTTATTTCCTATTTAAATGTTTGGTGGATGTTTCTAAAATGTAAATTCAGATCTGTTATAACTTGCCACTCTGTCTTTGGGTTCATTAATGATTTATTACAAAATAAAGCAAATAAAAAAAAAGAAACCTTTCTTAATGAAGCATACTAGAAAATAAAGATGGAAGCTTTTTATTACTTTCAATTTTGTATTTCTTTGTCTGCCTTTTATCTGTAAATTTCCCACAAATTTAAACTCTAATCTTGATGGAAGAAAATTGAAAGTAAAAGGGAAAATCTGACCTCTCTGCCAAGAGTACAAACCAAAAACACAATCTGCTTTGGTTCATTAATATTCATGAACATTTGGTGTCTGACTTCTGAATTATAGCAGAGACCTAAGGAAGGTGATATTTACCAAATTACTTAACCCACCAAGGAGTTACAACTCTTGAAAGCATTACCACTTTGATATTTATGCAGCAGTCCATTAGGAACAGTATCTAAATTGAGAAGGAAGGCCAAGGACATCATTAGCTTGTCACTAAGAACTGAATTGTGGAGCAATTATTGAGGTATCATGTTCCTTCCTTTAAGACGGTAATTGTTATTCAGGTGATTACAATGTCATAAAATCATGCCCACAAGATTCTCTTCAAAACAGTTCCAATATTGTCCTTGTTACTAAATGAACTCAAAAACGTCTCCAGCTTGTTGCTGTTGTTCCATCTTTTTCAGTTTGAATAGCAGAAAGAAAATTAAGCTTCCTGTGAAAAAGTAGTAAATACCCATCATGTATATTTCCAATAACAGAACTGAATACAAAGAAAAAATATAGTAAGTCTTAACCCCAGTGAAAATAAGCAAAGCACATTTTAGATGAATGTTACTACACCCATCACTTTTTCACACAGAGGCAAATAAAGTATTTTAAATTGATGTACAAGCATGTGCATCAAGTGTCTTTATAAAAAACAATTAGATTTGTGTAGTAATTTATCAGTGCAGTGCTGATCTAGCAAGACTAATATCACTGGTTCTCTCCCTAGCACACTAGACAAATAATATTTAATCATAAATATAATAACAAAATGCTCCATGATTTTAAAAATGCAATAGGAAACAGTTATTCAGAGGAAATATATGAACGCAATTGATATAATACTTATGTTTTCTTTTAGAAGTACTTTATTCATCCTTTAGGAATTTCTTACACCATATATTTTTATCTTCTTCAATCCCTCTTTGCAATTCATCTATGATCCATCCCCATCTCCCTAGAAAGTTATCATTTTGGGGAGGGAGAAAATATCCTGGAGCATGGTTGACCTACAATGATTCTTGTCTTTTTTGCTTGTTTGTTTGTTTGTTTTTGTTTTGTTTTCCGAGACAGAGTTTCTCTGTAGCTTTTTTTGGAGCCTTCCTTGGACCTATTTCTTGTAGACCAGGCTGGTCTTGAACTCACAGAGATCCTCCTGCCTCTGCCTCCCAAGTGCTGGTATTAAAGGCATGCGCCACCACTGCCTGGCTAAGGATTATAGTCTTAATGAAAGCTAATTCTGCCTTTCCCATCAGCTGTCAGTTGTTAATAAATCCCCAGATAGGGGTGAGGCTTTTCGTAAGCTCTTCTTTCCATGGTTAAGTGCTCATTTCCATTGGTTTGACTTGAGCTTCAGCAGTTCTGGTGCGTTCTGTCACAGTTTCTGGGAATGCATATGTGCAACTCCTCTGCTGTGTCAGGAAAAAGGCTTCCATGTAGTTTTCGGCCTGCTGTGGCTTTTACAAACAGTCATGCCAGGGTCTTGGGAGTAGACCATAAGATATACGTGTCTAATTTGTGGCTAACAGTTTTTAGCTTGAGTAACAACAAAAAATATTTGTTTTACAAAATGTATGCTTTTCAAAAGCAAAGTAGATATTAGCAGAAGGGGAAGTATACCTGTATTTGAAAATCAGTTGTTCTAAAGAACTTAAAGTTTTTGTTTCAGAATAAGTTCTTTGTGTTTGGTAAATAAATATAGCTCTGTAGCAACACCAATATTAATACTTAAAACGATTATCTCCCCATCTCTCTCACATGCACAAACATTTAATACATAAAAAACTAGTTAGTACCAATTCCAATACCTTATTCTGGCCTGTCCACCACTCTACAGCTGGTCACTTCTAAGTAGCTGTCTTTTTTACCTTCCTTTTTCTTCTTCCTTCTTTCTTTCTTTCCTTCCTCCCTTCCTTTCTTTATTCCTTCCTTCCTTCCTTCGTTTGTTTGCTCCTTTTTTCCTTCCTTCCTTTCTTTAATTTGGTGTGTGGTATATGCCAGAGGTATGTCAAATGTAGGTGTCTGCTACTATCTCTCTGCGTAGTCATTTTTTTAAGCAAGGTCTTTCCTTCAACCTGATTCTCACAAAATAGCTATACTGGCTGGCCAGTATATTGAGATCTACGTCTGTCCCTCACACACACACACACACACACACACACACACACACACACACACACATTGCTAGGTTTATATACATGGACTGCTGTATCTGGTTTTTATCTGGATTCTTGGAATCAAATGTAACTAAGCTATTGCCCTAGTCATAGTTTTCCATTTTCAAATATGTAGTACAAAAGGGCACTTTTGTAACGTGGCAGCTTTGTTACTGAAAGTGCATCTGAGTTCCTATCATGCTGTTCATCATTTTATGTGATTTCATTATGGAAATTTATATGGAGCCTTTATGCCTTGTGTCTGCTCACCACAGATGAGTGTTACTTGGTTCTAGTTTTTGGTGACCACATAAATATCACTCTACAGTTTGATGTACATAGATATACTTGTAGTAGGAAATTTTCATTTTACATTATTAAGTTCCTGGGATACTATTGTGTTGCTCTAAGGTAGGTATATTTTTTAATTTGATTTCAAAGTAGTTCCCCACTTTCTTATAGCTTTCAAAGCATTGTACTTGCTCTTCCAGATCTCAGTATGACTTGGCATTGCCATTAATGGATGTTATTATGAAAGCAGCAGAGAAGCTAAATTTATTTTTTTCTAAGATGAATATCTTTTATATGCTAATGTGACTGTTGTTTTGGGCTTGTTTTTCCTTTCTACTGCAGTTTCTTTTAAAGTACTTTAGCATTATACAAATTTTATGCAACAATATTGGTTTTATTAGGCTTTTAAATAATTTGTATTTTATGTGTGAGAGTGTTTTCCTGCTATCGTGTTCATGCTATGCCAATAGAAGCCTGAGGAACATGTTGGATCCTCGAGAGCTGGAGTTATAGACAGTTGCTAGACACCATATGAGTGCTAGGTCCACTGGAAGAGCAGCCAGGACTCCTAACCACTAAGCCATCTCTTCATCTCTTAATCACAGTGATTTTTAATTATAAAATTTGTGTTGTTATATATTAGTTCTAAATGTGTTTGGGTTCATAAACATATTTTCCTGCATGAAAATCATGTACTTAGAACACATTATCCTCTATCTTCCAATCTCTTCATCATTCCCCTTCAAATATTTGCGACTGTTACCCAGGAACATCTCACTTTCAGGGTCATGTCATATGGAATGTTACATAGTATATTAATTTATAATTAATTAGCAATATATATTAATATATTGCATATGACATGAAATTAGAAGGGATATATAGAATACAAAAAAGTGAGAACATGCAATTTTTTTCTTTCCTACTCTGATATATTTTATTTAATTTGATGATCTCTAGCTGCCTCCATCTTCTACCCAACATTACATTTTCCTTCTAGATTAAGGCTGAATACAGAAGAGATTTCTAAAGTGTTACAGTTGCTGAGAAATAAAACTAAACTTTGCGAATGTATCACAGGAGGCTAAAAATCTTCTGCTAAATAAAACAGTTAATGGAAAGTCCAGTCTACAGAACAGGAGACTATCAGTTGCTTGTACATGGGAAGAGGATGACTCATATCTAACAGCAGAACTAATGGTTTCTTCTTCAGTATGGAAAAACTTTTAATCGTGGTGGGAGTCCTCTATTATATAAATCTCAGCCAAACACTGTAACTCTTTGTTTTCATTCTCTTAGAAATAGTGAATGTGTATTCTGAATCTGATAAAGTATATTTCATACTTTTTTCCTTTTTGCTTCATTTTGGTATAAAACACAACTTAGATCTTAGAAATTATTTTGGATAGAGGTTTCAGTTTTTCTATATTTATCTCAAGAAGTCTCCATATTCTAGACTTTAGCTTCAGATAAATTTATCAACTATTTGAGATTAGCTTACATATAATGAAGTTGCCTTTTTTGTTTCCAGATGTATACACAACTGTTTGAGTAATGTTTGTTAAAAATTATTCTTGAGATGATAATGTAGCTCAGTGGCAAAGAATTTCCCTAGCCTACGCATGGATGAGGAACTAAGTTCAGTTCCCAACAATCTGAGAAAATAACAACAACAACAACAAAGTTTCTATGAGTTTGGAAAGACGGCACATTCATTAAGGGTGCATGCCCTGAAGATGACCTGTGTTCAATTCTTAGCCTCCCATCAGGCAATGCCAGTTCTGTAGGGACCTGATGCCTTATTCTGTTCTTTATGGGAACATACACACAGCAAATCTAAAACAACAACCAAAATAAAAGAAACAAAGGAAAGAACAACTTCATCCTGGTACAGAAACCTGTGTGATACAAACATTCCCGAGACCAAGGACAGAAAACTCGTAGTTGGAGATAATCCTTGATTAGAAAGGGAGACACTTTTTCAAAACCAAATTAAAGAGTTGAAGAGACGGTTTGTGCTGAGCCAGCTGGCCTCACTGAGTACACAGGCTTGATTCAAAGCAACCACACAGTGGCTCAAAATTTACTGTAATTACAGTTCTAGGGCACCTGACTTCTGTTAAAACTACACTCCGTTCGACATAGTTGCTTCTGCTAACTGCATATTGAGTGGAACTCTCAGCATTTTATCCAGCACCATGTCTGCTTGCACACTGCCATGTCCCACCATGATGATAACGGACTAAATCTCTGAACTGTAAGCCAACCCCAGTGAAATGTTTTCCTTTATAAGAGTTGGCATGGTAGCCGGGCAGTGGTGGCACAAACTTTTAATCCCAGCACTCTGGAGGCAGAGGCAGGCAGATCTCTGTGAGTTCGAGGCCAGCCTGGTCTACAAGAGCTAGTTCC